GTGACGAAAAAAACGCCAGGAAATATTAAGAACAAATTGTTATGTGAACACATCCACAGACTTCTCATATATCTCAGGCAAAAATGACGAAACAAAAATTAATAAAAAAACTGAGACCAGTGGATGAAAAATGCTGCCCAAACGCTTCCTGAAGGGGCCCCCCCAAATGCAACAAGATTACCTGCTGGTTGGTACTGATAGGGCAGTGCTACTATGAGTGCGAAGCGATGACCACAAGGAATTTGCGTGAGAAAGTGTTGATGACCTGATAAAAATCAGGATTGAGATGTGAAAGAGCCCAATATGGGGCAATTTGCCAGGTCTATCCTAAGAAGCATGCTTGATGGCTGTGAGCGCTCAATAAAATAAAATGCAGAGCGCATGTCTCAAAGACAAGCTACACTTTGATTTGTGCCCACTAAAGATCCTTTTATATATTTAAAGATTTTCATTAGTTTCTTGAGGAGCTGCAGCAAGTGTTCAAGATGGAATGGAGTTAATCCCTGATGTACCATAAGGGAATTTAACCGCCTCCTGCCCGCAATATAGTAATATGACGGACGAAAGGTGGTTCTCTCATTCTGGGAGGATGTCATATGACGTTCTCCCATTCTCACCACGCATGCGCGGCTCCCAGAGCACGCAGTGCGGCGATGCGCTGTGTCCCTAGGACACAGCGGATCACCTATCCACAGAAAGAGCCGAAGATGTCGGCTTGGTCATGTGATTAGCTGTGTCCAATCACAGGTGATCACATGTAAACAGGGAAATGCCGGTTATCGGCATTTTGCTCCCCACGAGCTGTCACGCTGACAGCTTGTGAGGAGAGGACAGCCGGTAATCGGCATTCCTCGGAGGGGACATGTACACAGATCATCAGAGCACTGATGATCAGTGTGCCCTGATGATCTCTGTAGCCCCAGCAGAGCCACCTGTCAGTGTCCATCAGTGTCAGCTCTCAGTGCTCATCCATGCCTCCATAACAAAAACTAAGAAAAAACATTTTTTTTTTTTTAAATTTTCAGTGGTTTTTGGTTTGTTTAAGAAAAAATAAAAAAACCCAGAGGTGATTAAATACCACCAAAATAAAGCTCTGTCACAAAAAAATTATAAAAATTTCATATGGGTACAGTGTTGCATGACCGCACAACTGTCATTCAAAGTGCAACAGCGCTGAAAGCTGGAAATTGGCCTTGGCAGGAAGGGGGTATAAGTGCCCTGTAGGCTAGTGGTTAATGAACTCTTATGTTTACATCTGTACATATTATGCCTAGCACTTATTTACTCTTTGCTCCCTTTTTGGACCCACAGTCTGTGACAGTGAAGCCAGGATACTGAGCTTGTGAATCCATAGTGTTCAAAGTTAAAATGTTATTAAACCCAGGACCCTGCATTCACTATATCTGGTCTCCCACAGCGCACGCAACATGGAAATGCAATTATTTTAGTAAATATTAACAGATAAATACATTTTCTCATCAGCAGTTAGAGCAGTCTTGTGACTTCAGCAGAGCATTGGTTAAAGCTTGTAGGAAGAGTTTTCTTTCTGCTCTAGGAGGATGTGAAACCCCTTAACCTCTGTCTGGACAGTGCTGATTGGCCCTGAGCTGATCGCATGCACCCTCCCAAGAAAAAAAAAAAACCTTCTCTAGCAATACACACCAAACTGAGCATGTGCATGTGACTACGGATTCAGTCTGTATCAGGTGGACATTTCAACAAGAGGAGAGACAGAGAAGAAGGGAACAAACAGCCTTTTTACACAATGATTAGGTTCCACAGTGAGTATAACAAGCATGCTTTACTGCATATGCAGGCTGATTTTACTGTTGTGGGTTTAGTAACACTTTAAGTTGTCCCAAACTCATTCAGCCTAGAGAAGAGCAATGCAGGACAGCACAGATCTTCCGCTGCTCTCCATCCTGAATCTACAGGGCTCCTGGGCTCACTAAGAACCAAGTGAGCCAGAGACCGTGAGGGGTAGTAGGTTTTGCATGGTTTTTTGCTGAGATTTTGTGAAAAAAGGTAGAGCACATAAAAATGGGATAAAACATATTTACACTTTGCAGACAAATTGGAACAAACAAAAATTCTCGGCTTACTTTCCAGCCAGCCTGCAACAAACCAAATTACCTTGTCAAACAAATTACCCTCATGTTAAAACAAGGGGTTTAGTTTTTCACACATTTGCAAAGATATGTGTAAGCTGCAGAGGCCAATTCACGGCATCCTAGTATATCTGCAGTCCTACAAGTAACTCTATACATTTTGAGAGAGTCTCCAAAGTTGGAGTACATACAGCAGGTAAAATAAGTATTGAACACAGGACCAATCCTGCTTTACAACGAAAACCATTGCAAATCTTGATGTGAAACTGGCTTCCTACTGCTTTTTGTCATCCAAAAAATGATTTTTTTTTTGGTGTGATTTTTTCTTAATTGAATAGAATGCAATCCACACACAGCCATTGGAGTGGTATTTTGCATCAGAAAAAGGGTATTGCACAAGTCTTGGTCCTGCTGTACAATGAAAACCATTGCAAATCTTGATGAGAAACTGGCTTTTTTTGGTGTTTTTTTTTTTTCTTTATTGAATAGATTGCAGTCCATACACAGCCATTGAAGTGGTCCTTTGCATCAGAAAAAGGGTATTACACAAGTCTTGGTCCTGCTGTAAAACAAAAACCATTGCAAATCTTGATGTGAAACTGGCTTCCTACTGCTTTGTGTCATCCCAAAAAATCTTTTTTTGGTGTTTTTTTTCCTTTATTGAATAGATTTCAATCCACACACAGCCATTGAAGTAGTATTTTGCATCAGAAAAAGGGTATTACACAAGTCCCAAGTCACATCAAGATTTGCAATGGTTTTCATTGTACAGCAGGATTGGTCCATAGCAAATCTTGATGTGAAACTGGCTTCCTACTGCTCTTTGTCATCCAAAAAATGATTTTTTGGTGTGTTTTTTCTTCATGGAATAGAATGCAATCCACACACAGCCATTGAAGTGGTATTTTGCATCAGAAAAAGGGTATTACACACGTCTTGGTCCTGCTGTACAACACAAACCATGGCTGCTCTATTAGCACATTTTTGGTAAAATGTTTACTATTGTTATATATTTTATGCAATGTTTTTTGGCCATCAAAAGAGGCACTTTTTTCTTTTTTTCTTAATGCCACACCTTTCTAAGGTCTGTACTGGAGATAAAAAATACAACATGTTTTACAGTAACTATTATTCCATGTTTTTGGCATCAAAATAAGCACTTTTTCTTATGCTATACTTCTGTAAACTAAACTTACATCTTTTAAAAGAGACTTTAGTTACTAAAGTGTCTTTTTAAAGATGCAGGAGATAAACAAAAAAAATACAAAATGTTTACTACAGGTTTAAAACTGTAAAACTTGATTTTTTGATTGCACCCTATTGCTATTAAGCTATTGCTGTTATGTTTAAATTGACATAATAAAGCTATGTTATAATTGCAGTTTTTTATATTTTGAACTCTTTATTCTAAAGCAAAATGTAATTTCATAAGCTTTAAGGGGGTGTGGTTGGGGGTGGAGCTGGGGTGGGGTTGGGGGACGGGGGTGGGGTTGGAAGCGGACCTGGGCAAGTTTGGGTGGGGCAACTGGTGGAGAGTAAGGTTTGTGCCTGGCTAGTACGTCTAGACTCGAAATTTTAAGCCTTGTGATTGATATATATATATATATATACACACACAAACACACACACACATATGTGGTGCTATATAAGTACCTGTAATAAATAAAGAGAAGAATCTGCTTCATCACACAAACATGCAATTCAGACCTCTGCTGGAAGAATATTTTACTGACTGGACCTCCGTGATTTTTAATTCAGTACCCCTACTCTATAGTCATATTTGCTGCTCAGATGTGACTGGGAGAAAATGCTCAGCATAGAAACTCACTGAAAACTGAGCATGTGCGTTAGCTGCCAACACTGTCCCTATATGCTCCCATGGTATTCTGATCAATACAAGATGCTTATAGAGCTCTGTGTATATTCCTTCTCCAAAGAAACAACTAGAAGGTTCAATTTTCAAAATTATATGGTTTCCATTGGAACATATAAAGCATATAGTGGGGGGGGGGGTTTTAAAATTTGGCTGCAAATTCACCAATCCATCCATGTTGTCCATGTCAATTTGAACACTCCCCTAGCATTTCTGACTGCGGCCATTTTGAGCAAGGGCAGATGATTAATTTGGCATTTACTTCCTGAAATCCATCTGCCCTTAAAATCTGTAGGATTTATATATATATATATATATATATATATACACATACATACATACACACACACTATATTGTCAAAAGTATTGGGACGCCTGCCTTTACACACACGTGAACTTTAATGGCATCCCAGTCTTAGTCTGTAGGGTTCCATTGAGTTGGCCCACCCTTTGCAGCTATAACAGCTTCAACTCTTCTAGGAAGGCTGTCCACAAAGTTTAGGAGTGTGTCTATGGGAATGTTTGACCATTCTTCCAGAAGTACATTTGTGAAGTCAGGCACTGTCGTCGGACAAGAAGGCCTGGCTCGCAGTCTCCACTCTAATTCATCCCAAAGGTGTCCTGTCGGGTTGAGGTCAGGACTCTGTGCACGCCAGTCAAGTTCCTCCACCCCAAACTCGCTCATCCATGTCTTTATGAACCTTTCTTTGTGCACTGGTGCATGTTGGAATAGGAAAGGGCCATCCCCAAACTGTTTCAACAAAGTTGGGAGCATGAAATTGTCCAAAATGTCTTGGTATGCTGACGCCTTAAGAGTCCCCTTTACTGGAACTAAGGGGCCAAGCCCAACACCTGAAAAGCAACTCCACACCATAATCCCCTGTTCACCAAACTTTACACTTGGCACAATGCAGTCAGGCAAGTACTGTTCTCCTGGCACCCGCCAAACCCAGACACATCCATCGAATTGCCAGACAGAGAAGCGTGATTTGTCACTCCAGAGAACATCTCCACTGGTCTAGAGTCCAGTGGCAGCGTGCTTTACGCCACTGCATCTGACGCTTTGCATTGTACTTGGTGATGTAAGGCCGAGAAGCTGCTACCCCGGCCATGGAAAACCATTTCATGAAGCTCTCTACGCATTGCTGTTGTGCTAATCTGAAGGCCAAACAAAAGTCTTTATCTATTGACTCTGCAGACAGTTGGCGACTTCTGCGCACTGTGCCTTTCAGCATTCGTTGACCTTGCTCTGTCATTATACGTAGCCTACCACTTCGTGGCTGAGTTGCTGTTGTATCCAGTTGCTTCCACTTTGTTATAATACCACTAACAGTTGACTATGGAACATTTAGTAGCAAGCAAAATTTCACGGATGGACTTATTGCACAGGTGGCGACCTAGCATTGTACCACGCTTGAATTCACTGACCTATTCTTTCACAAATGTTTGTAGAAGCAGTCTGCATGCCTAGGTGCTTGATTTTATACAAAGAACCAGCAAACACAAATGCTCCTGCGCTTGGGGATGGACTCGATGCTACAACCACATTAAGAATGTCCTGGAACATGCACACCTTGCTGCCCTCAAATGGACCGGGGGAATCCAAATATACTGAATGGGGAAAGAACAAAAAGAGGGCACACAGGCCTAGTGCATTACCATAAAAAATGTTTAATAAAAAATAAAGTAGGTGTTGTACTCACAAACGACAATATAGTCAAGGCACATCATAAAAGAACAGCTGGATCAACACCGTGCTGAGTAACAGTCCGCAATAGGGAGTTTAGACATCCAAAAGGCTCCCCCCCCCTTTATTTTCACCTGGTTATCTGGCCAGGAAGTCTTATTTTTAACATATTTTAAGGAGCAAGACAAAGTAGCAGTTAGGGGGTTGAGACAAACCATTTAACACTGTAGGGGAGCTTACAATGGTCAGCTTTTATTCATTTATGTAAAACCTTTATCCAAAAAGGAAAAAAATGTTTGCTGTAACTGCTTATAAAGTGTTGGCTGAAGTTCAGCTATAATTTTTTTTTTATTAAACTCCAACTAAATCTGCTAGTGTAAAACTATCCTCCACTCAGACTGACAATGCTGCTAAGGAGTCTTCCTTGCGACTACATCCAGAAGGATGACCCCTTAAGGCCTGGGACACACCTATGCAGCTTGCAGTTGATGCATGTTTCCAGTGAGTTTTGTGTTTTTCACGTACATTTTTTTAGGCGTTTTGTGATTTTGGGAGGTGTCTGTCTTATGGGACAAACCAGCTAAAATAAGCAAAAAGGCATAAAAAATGCAAGCACTGATTTTTTTTTTTTTAAATTAGTTTCCATTAAAGTCTATGGAACCAAAAACGCAACCTGCTGCGGGGAAAAAAAAAGAAAAGTCCACGATCCTTTCCAAAAAACAAACTGGTGGAAAACGCTCAGATGTGAGCGTGACCTGTACAAAACCATGTGACCTGTAGTGCGTTTATGCAAAACTGAAAAAGCACTGAAATAAAGCCTAGGTGTGAACCTATGCCTAAGACAGAAAGTGTGCTACTGGCTAGATGACCAGATGAAATAAAGGAAAAAAAAACAACAACAAAACAAGCAGCCACTACAGGTATTTTTAAGCTTCAATATACAAAATTGTTGTTTTTGGGTTTAATACTGCTTTATTCCAGCAGATGGTGGCCATAACCTGTGCCCCATGATGTTCTCTCTGCTAAATGCAGCTGAGAAAGCTTAATGGAAGGCTGTCAGTCAAGTGTCACATGATCATTTTGCATAGTTAAGCTGCTGAGTGTGGGGGGATTCCTTCCTGATCACCCAGGAGGCAATCAGATATTACTTTAACTCTCTCCTGCCACCTCATGGTGGGTGGGCTTTAATGCCGATAAGCCACATACATGCGTACCTAAAGATAAACAGAACTGTGCGCGCTCCCTGCAGTTACCGATGGCAAAGCCAGGCTGGATCACGTACATATACATTATCCAGCGTCTTCTGGGTACAGGGCGCATACATGTGCGCTCCTGCTAACCAACGCTGTCACTGACTATCGTGAGATTTTGTCAGCAGGTCCTGGCCAAGGATTTTGACCATGGTCTTGCTCATCGGCTGTAGCGAATGACAGCGACGAGTCCTGTGTTTACAATCACACAGGTCTCTGCACACAATCAGCGAAAAAAACAACCAGATCTCTTAGTAAAAACAGCATATAATACACTTGTTAGGCATACGGTTGACCCCTTGATTGCCCCTAAATGTTAACCCCTTCCCAGCCAGTGTCATTAGCACAGTGTCAGTGTACAGTACTATATCGGATATCAGTGTATTAGAGTCACTACTGATGTCAATGTAAATTAGTGTTCATCAAAATAAGCAAACTCATGAGCTGCCAAAAAATAAGATCTTAATGATGTTACAAAGATTGCTGCCAACACTTAGCTGTGTGACATATCACACTAAGCAAGTAAAACAATGTTTTGTGATGCAGCGGAATCTCCTCAAACCAAATGTGAGTGAAATTGATACAAAAACCTGGAGCCGTAAATCTTAAAAATATCCAATACTATAGATCACTAGCTGTGTTAGACCACAATCTAGTGCTGCAATCACAAACCTTCTAAAAAGCAATATAATAAATGTGCATGCACTGTATATAAATAAGCTCATAAATAAATGCTTAGCACCTATAACATAAAATAGATCACGTTAAATGTCTCCCACTTACACCATCCTCACTGTGGTGTATAAACCCTTATAAATAAATAAAATTAAACAAAATCCGTGCTGAAGAAAATAAATACATAAATACATAAAAATGTATATACAGTCCACACAATTAATGTACAGTCAATGTATGTGCACTTTGAGATCCATATTCTCATATACAGTGGGGCAAAAAAGTATTTAGTCAGCCACCAATTGTGCAAGTTCTCCCACTTAAAAAGATGAGAGAGGCCTGTAATTGGCATCATAGGTAGACCTCAACTATGAGAGACAAAATGAGAAAAAAAAATCTAGACAATCACATTGGCTGATTTGGAAAAAATTTATTTGCAAATTATGGTGGAAAATACGTATTTGGTCACCTACAAACAAGCAAGATTTCTGGCTCTCACAGACCTGTACCTTCTTCTTTAAGAGGCTCCTCTGTCCTGCACTCATTACCTGTATCAATGGCACCTGTTTGAACTTATCAGTATAAAAGACACCTGTCCACAACCTCAAACAGTCACACTCCAAACTCCACTATGGTGAAGACCAAAGAGCTGTCGAAGGACACCAGAAACAAAATTGTAGACCTGCACTAGGCTGGGAAGACTGAATCTGCAATAGGCAATCAACTGTGGGAGAAATAATTAGAAAATGGAAGACATACAAGACCACTGATAATCTCCCTTGATCTGGGGCTCCACGCAAGATCTCACCCCGTGGGGTCAAAATGATCACAAGAACAGTGAGCAAAAAACCCAGGACCACACGGGGGGACCTAGTGAATGATCTGCAGAGAGCTGGGACCAACGTAACAAAGGGTACCATCAGTAACACACTTCGCCGCCAGGGACTCAGATCCTGCAGTGCCAGACGTGTCCCCCTGCTTAAGCCAGTACATGTCCGGGCCCGTCTGAAGTTTGCTAGAGAGCATTTGGATGATCCAGAAGAGGATTGGGAGAATGTCATATGGTCAGATGAAAAAAAAATAGAACTGTTTGGTAGAAACACAACTTGTCGTGTTTGGAGGGGAGAGAATGCTGAGTTGCATCCAAAGAACACCATACCTACTGTGAAGCATGGGGGTGGCAACATCATGCTTTGGGGCTGTTTCTCCGCAAAGGGACCAGGACGACTGATCCATGTACAGGACAGAATGAATGGGGCCATGTATCGTGAGATTTTGAGTGCAAACCTCCTTCCATCACCAAGGGCATTGAAGATGAAACGTGGCTGGGTCTTCCAACATGACAATGATCCCAAACATTACCACCCGGGCAACGAAGGAGTAGCTTCAAAAGAAGCATTTCAAGGTCCTGGAGTGGCCTAGCCAGTTTCCAGATCTCAACCCCATAGAAAACCTTTGGAGGGAGTTGAAAGTCCGTGTTGCCCAGCGACAGCCCCAAAACATCACTGCTCTAGAGGAGATCTGCATGGAGGAATGGGCCAACATACCAGCAACAGTGTGTGCCAACCTTGTGAAGACTTACAGGAAACGTTTGACCTCTGTCATTGCCAACAAAGGATATATAACAAAGTATTGAGATAAACTTTTGATATTGACCAAATACTTATTTTCCACCATAATTTGCAAATAAATTATTTCTAAATCAGCCAATGTGATTGTCTGGATTTTTTCTCATTTTGTCTCTCATAGTTGAGGTCTACCTATGATGCCAATTACAGGCCTCTCTCATCTTTTTAAGTGGGAGAACGTGCACAATTGGTGGCTGACTAAATACTTTTTTGCCCCACTGTAGGTCAAATGCGCTTTATCTGTATACCCCGCACGCTGGATACTGCTCTCTTCCCACCTGTAGGCCTCTCAAGAGGGTAATTCTCAGCCCTGAATATGAGTCAATAGGTGTTCCAAGAGAAAGATAATGCAAAAGGGCCACCCATAGAGTAGTAGTTTATATAATATCTATTCGGCAAAATGTATTTCACTCGCATGTAAAATCGAAAATACACACTCATCTGCGTTCCAAGCAAAGGAAAAGAAACTACCTTCTGGTCTTGGTCGTATATATTTGCGATGAGTAGGCAGAGTATGTATCTGCGATTTAACACAGCTAGTGATTTATAGTATTGGATATTTTTAAGATTTACAGTACCAAGTTGTGGTAACAATTTCGTCACACACACAGATTTGGTTGGAGATTGCACCCCACCACAAAACTTTGTTTTAATGTCAGCTAGTTTGCCTTCCAGTGATGGTCTGTTAGCGCCCGATTGCCTGCCACACTATAACAGTCCCACTATAAGTCGTTCATCATCGCCATTACCTGTATAGCATCAGAGCTATGTAAATTCCAGCATATACACTACTGTTTGTAGATATATAACTTTCATACAAATCAATTCACATACACTTATTGGGATTTTGTTTTGTTTTTTTACCAAAGACATGTAGCAGAATACATTTTGGCCTAAATTTATGAAGAAATTAGATTTTTTTTGGTTGGATATGTTCTATAACAGATAGTATAAATGTTTTTTTTTTTTTTTTAATTTTCTGTCCTTTTTCACTTATATAATAAAAAACAAAAACACACCCCAGTGGTGATCAAATACCACCAAAAGAAACCTTTATTTGTGTGTTGTGTGAAAACATTTATATAAAATTTAATTTGGGTACAGTGTTGCATGACTGAGCAATTGCCAGTTAAAGTAGCACAGCATGGAATAGCAAAACAAAATTGCCATGGCCATGAAGGGGGCAAAACCTTCTGGAGGTTAAGTGGTTAAATGAGGAATGGAC